GGGAAGCTTGTGATAGACTGGGGCCAGGGTGCAAGATGAGGCTGGAGATTGAGCTGGAGATGCATTGGGGATAGAACCTGGATGATGTTGAATATGTCATTGGACATAAAGATGACAGGCACGGTGACTTACACTTATAAACCCAGCACTTTGGGAGGCCAAGGTGGAAGGACTGCATGAGGCCAGGAGTTCAAGACTAGCCTGGGCAACATAGCGAGACTTTGTCTCTACAAAAGAATTTAAGAGTTAGCCAGGCATGGTGGTACACACCTTTGGTCCCAGCTACTCAGGAGGCTGACATGGGAGGATTGCTTGGGCTCAGGAGTTGGAGGCTGCAGTGAGTTATAATCCTGGACTCCAGGATGGAGGACAGAGGGAGACCCTGTCTCAGAAAAATAAATAAACTGCCAGGCATGGCGCTTCATGCCTATAATCCCGGCACTTTGGGAGGCCGAGGAGGGCGGATCACCTGAGATCAGGAGTTCAAGACCAGCCTGACCAACATGGAGAAACCCCGTCTCTACTAAAAATAGCAAATTAGCCAGGTATGGTGGTGTGTGCCTGAAATCCCAGCTACTCAGGAGGCTGAAGCAGGAGAATTGCTTGAACCCAGGAGGCAGAGGTTGCAGTGAGATGAGATCGCGCCACTGCCCTCCAGCCTGGGCAACAGAGCAAGACTCCATCTCAAAACAAACAAACAAACAAACAATAAAGATGAAGCTGGAATAAGGAAGTGGGGTTAGGAAGAGGTAAGAGTGGAGCTGGGCATGGAATGCAGCAGGCAGGGGACTGGCATGAGACTGGAGAGAGATCACAGCGGCATGGAGGGTGGGTGGAGGTGGCACTGGGGGTGAGAATGCGGATAGCTAGAGATGAGAAGTTTGGAGATGAGGGTGAACATTAAGCAGGGGATGGAGAAGGGATGGGAGTTGCTGGTGGGGAAGGGAATGGAGGGGGTTGGGAATGAGGTTGGAGATGGGATGGAAAAATTGAAAGAGTGAGTCTGGGCACATGGAGGAAGGACGGAGTTGGGGTTAGAAATGGGAATGAGGCTGAAGATGGGATGGAAACGCGTGGACAGGAGGTATGATGGGGTGGTGAAGGAGAGAAGGGAACAGGGCTGCAGGAGGAGAGTGCTTCAGGGACTAAGAGGGGTGGGTTAGAGAAGATCATGGGCATGGGAGTGAAAGGGAGGCTGGAAAAGGAGATGGGGCAAATGTCCCAGACAGTGGAGATGGAAGGAATGGAGACGGAGCTGGGCTGAGGTGGGGACGGAGCAGGGCTGAGGTGGGGAAGAGCTATGGGGATAGACTGGAGGCTGGAGTGTGGAATGGGAAGGAGACCTGGATAGGGAGGGGGTGGGTGTGACATGTCCATCCTTGGCCTGTGGGCCTTTCCTGACCATCTGCCTTCCCTTCAGGACCTGGAGCGTCTCCGCTTCCTCTCCACCTCGCTTCAGCCCTTCCGTGCCCTGCTGGGAGGGCTGGGGACCCAGGGCCGCTGGACCAACACGGAGAGGATGCAGCTGTGGGCCATGAGGCTGGACCTCCGCGATCTGCAGCGGCACCTGCGCTTCCAGGTAAAGCCCGGCCACCCCAGACCACGTGGGAAGGAAGACTGGCTGGCTCATCCAGTGATCCCACGCTCTGAGTGTGTGTGAGTGTGAGAGTGTGAGCATAACTGTGACTGTGTGGGTCCAACAGTGTGAGAGTGTGACTATTAGAGTGTGAGTGTGTGGGTCTGTGAGTGTGAGAGTGTGTGACTGTGAGAGTGTGGGTGTGACAGTGAGTGTGTGTGGGTCTGTATGAGTGTGAGCATGACGCTGTGTGTGTGGGTCCGTGAGTGTGTGACTGTGAGAGTGTGTGAGTGTGTGGGTCTGTGAGTGTGAGAGCGTGTGGGTGTGACTGTGTGTGTGGGTCTGTATGAGTGTGAGCGTGACTGTGAGTGTGTGGGTCCGTGAGTGTGTGTGTGTGACAGTGAGAGTGTGTGTGTGGGTCTGTGAGTGTAAGAGTGTGTGGGTGTGACTGTGGGGGGGGGTCTGTATGAATGTGAGCGTGACTGTGTGTGAGTCCATGAGTGTGAGTGTGTGAGTGTGTAGGTCTGTGTGAGTGTATGTGACTGTGAGAGTATATGGGTGTGTGTGTGTGGAGGGGTCTGTATGAATGTGACTGTGACTGTGTACGTGGGTCCATTAGTGTGTGTGTGACTGTGTGTGGGTCTGTGAGTGTGACAGTGTGTGGGCATGACTGTGTGTGGGTCTGTATGAGTGTGAGTGTGACTGTGTGTGAGTGTGTGGGTCCATGAGTGTGAGAGTGTGTGTGTGGGTCTGTGAGTGTGAGCATGACTGTGTGTGTGTGGGTCTGTGTGAGTGTGAGTGTGACTGTGTGTATGTGGGTCTGTATGTGTGTGACTGTGAGTGTGTGAGTGTGTGGGTCTGTGTGAGAGTGTGTGGGTGTGACTGTGAGTGTGGGGGGGGTCTGTATGAGTGTGAGCGTGAGTGTGTGTGAGTGTGTGGGTCCGTGAGTGTAAGAGTGTGTGAGTGTGTGAGTCTGTGTGAGAGTGTGTGAGTGTGTGGGTCTGTGAGTGTGAGAGTGTGTGGGTCTGTGAGTGTGAGAGTGTGTGAGTGTGTGGGTGGGTGTGTGAACGTGAGTGTTGTGTCAAAGTGAGGTGTGTGGGTGAGAGTTTGGATATAGGTGTGTCAGTGTGTGAGGATGAGTGTGAGTGTGACTGTGTGGGTATGTGAACGAATTTTTTTTTGTTCTGAGACTGAGTCTCACTCTGTCGCCCAGGCTGGAGTGCAGTGGCATGCTCAGCTCACTGTAACTTCTGCCTCCCTGGTTCAAGCAGTTATCCTGCCTCAGCCCCCTAACTAGCTAAGATTACAGGCATGCACCACCACGCCTGGCTAATTTTTTTTTATTTTTAGTTTCACCATGTTGGCCAGGCTGGTCTCGAACTCCTGACCTCGAGCTCTGCCCGCCTCGGCCTCCCAAAGTGCTGGGATTACAGGCGTGAGCCACTGTGCCCAGCCATGAATGTGTTTTGCGTGAATGTGACTGTATGGGAATGAGTGTGACTGCGTTGTGAGAATGAGTATGTGTGTGAGTGTGTTCGTGTGTGTGCGCGGGCGCGTGCAGCCACACCAGGCCCTGGTGCCGCCCCTCAATCTTGGCATTCTCCTGGGGCTCCATCTTTAACAGGAGGCCATTGGGCTGTGAGGTCACTCGGGGTTTGTCCTGAGCGCCCAGCACAGCATCTGCCTCCTGTTTCCCTTCTCCCTGTGATTCTCTGATGTCACCCAGATCTTCCAGAACCTTTCAAAGGGAAATCAGAATTTTACACTTAATGAAATGAGAATAGAAAATGCAAGTAGCAGAGCCAGGCGTGATGGCTCACGCCTGGAATCCCAGCACTTTGGGAGGCCAAGGCAGGTGGATTATTTGAGGTCAGGAGCTCAAGACCAGCCTGGCCAACAGGGTAAAACCCCATCTCTACTAAAAATACAAAAATTAGCCAGGCGTGGTGGTGGGCACCTGTAATCCCAATGACTCGGGAGGCTAAGGTAGGAGAGAATTGCTTAAACTGAGGAGACAGAGGTTGCAGTGAGCCGTGATCGCCTCACTGCATTCCAGCCTGGGCGGCAGAGCAGGACTCCAAGAAAGGAAGACAGAGAGAGAGAGAGAGAGAGAGAGAGAGAAAAGAAGGGCAAGCAGCAGGGAATCTGAGCTATGTCACCCTCTGCCTGTTGCCGACCCAACCAAAGAGCAACCTTAACAGCAGAAACTTCCTGAACCCACCCCTCGGGGCAGTCCTTGGGGTGATCTAGCTCTGTGAGCATCCTCTTGCTCCTTGACTTCCATTTTCTCGAACTGAAAGATGAGGTGAGACGTGTTAGCGGGTGACATCATGGAAGATCAAGTAGGGAATGTCCGGGGAAATCATGACCTTGTGGTCACTGATGTCATTAGAAGCCGCTGGGCACAAATAGGGAATGAGGATTCGCTCAGGTTCTCGGCCTGGCCCCTCCCTAACCCATGGCTTCTCCTCACAGGTGCTGGCTGCAGGATTCCACCTCCCAGAGGAGGAGGAGGAGGAAGAGGAGGAGGAGGAGGAGGAGAGGAAGGGGCTGCTCCCAGGGGCACTGGGCAATGCCTCACAGGGGCCGGCGCAGGTGTCCTGGCCCCAACTCCTCTCCACCTACCGCCTGCTGCACTCCTTGGAGCTCGTCTTATCTCGGGCCGTGCGGGACTTGCTGCTGCTGTCCAAGGCCGGGCACTCAGTCTGGCCCTTGGGGTTCCCAACGTTGGGCCCCCAGCCGTGATTGGGTGGCTTCTTAGCCCCCTGCCCTCCACCCTTTAGTACTTTAGGACTGGAGTCTTGGCATCAGGGCAGCCTCCGCATCATCAGCGTTGGACAAGGGAGGGCTCTTCCAGCCCCCTGCCCCAGGCCCTACCCAGTAACTGAAAGCCCCTCTGGTCCTTGCCAGCTATTTATTTCTTGGATATTTATTTATTGTTAGAGAGATGATGGTTTATTTATTGTCTCGGAGCCTGCTGGTCCTCCTTGGGCCGAGCCCCCATGCTGGGTGCCCAATAAAGCACTCTCATCCACCCCTGGCCTCCGCTTATCTTCTGGGAAGGGTTGCTGACGCCTAGAGGGCAGGGCAGCCTGGAACGGGGTCAGCAACCTCTAGCCATCCTGAATCCCTCTCTGCTCCTACATTTTTGGGGTCCCTGGCCCATCTTCCCCTACTATGTCCTGCTCCGCCAGGCCATTGCCATAGTAACCAGTGGCATCCTGAGGCCGAGCTACCGTTTTGGAAGCTCAAGGCAGCTCGTCTTTGATTCTGAGCAGTGCTCCTTAAGCCCCCCTAACCACCTTCCTTTGGCCTGGATGCGACTCCAGAGGTTTGTGTTACGCCTGCTCAGTTCTGAGGGTCTTGGTGCAGGGAGTTGGGCTGGGAAGCGGAAGTCAGAGAGGGAGGTCTATAAGGAGAATGATCGCTGTTCCCTCTCAGCCTTCCTTGCAGTCTTTATTTTTTTTATTTTGCTTTTAAAAGATGGGGGTCTTGCTATGTTGCCCAGGCTGGTCTCGAACTCCTGGTCTCAAGCGCTCCTCCCACCTTGGCCTCCCAAAGCTCTGGAGTGACAGGCATGAGCCCCCGTGCCCAGCCTCCATGCAGTCCAGATAGCTGACTCAGTCTGGAGAGGAACCAGGGCAGGCACCCTGAGACGTGGTCTCAGTGGAGTAGGTGGTCCACCAGCCTGTGTTGGAGAATCAGACTCCTTAAGTCAAGGTCTTCCCAGACGTCTGGTTTTGCCTGCTGCATGAATGATACATCAAGACGCTGAGGCCCAGAGGGTGGAGAGGATGTGTCCACGGTGGCAGAGGGAGCAGGGCTCAGTGGCGTCGAAGCCCTGAGTGGCCCCCACTCAGGGCCTGGCTCCCAGAGCGCCGGGTTTCAGTCACTGGGGCTTAGGCCGGCCCAGACGGGCTTGCAGCTCCTGCATCATGCCGGGGTGCATGAGGTCAAACCTGAAGGCAGAAGTCAGGCCCATGAGAACGGGTTCACAGGTGCCCACGGTCTCTTCCCCACCCCAGCCGAGTTGCCCTGTGCCTACCCATGTCCCAGGGGCCTTCTCCTGGCTGGCACCGGGGTCCCATCATGCCTCAGAGGGCTTGGCTCTGGGGGTTCCTCCGGCTGGAGGGGTCTCTGCTCAGGGGCCGACAGTTCCTCCTCAGGAGGATTGGGGGCTGGGGGCTCCTCCTGCTGCTCCAGGGCTGGAGTCCGACGAAAAGAGGGCCGGGAGCGACGTTGTGAGGAGCTTCTCGAGAGCTGCACGCGGCTCCTTGGGACAGAGACGTCTAGGAGGGACCCAGGGAGCGGGGCCTGTAGGAAAGGGAGCACAGAGGACCATGGGACCGGCTTCGGGATTCCACTCATTCCCCCCCAGACCCCACTAAGAGCCCTCACCTCACTCCAGCTGCTGGCAGCACCTCCTCTGGCACTGCCTGTGGCCTCAGCCGTCTCGGCTTCCCCGACTGACCCTGGCGCAGCTTCTGCAGGGGCCTGGTGTGTTGGCCACTCCTCCTGGCCCCTGACGTCTTCCAGGCTTTCTGGCTCAGTCTCCTTGGCCTCTGCCCTCCAGCCCCCGGTCACCATGAGACCCTCTGCATCAAGGAGCCTTGGTGCCTCTCCCTCAGGGTGGTGGTCCCCACGCCGCCCCTCACTGTCTTCCCTCTGTTCTCTCTCCTGCCATCCCACAGCCTTTTCTTCCAACAGCATCCACTCTTCTAGAAGCCCTGCAGCCTCCACCGTGGCTCCCATCCCGTCTGCCCTCGCTGTCTGGGAGCCCACGTGATCCAGCCCACAGCTGTCCTCTGCACCTGCAGATTCCTCTGCCTCTACCCGTCCTCCCCCAGGTCCTCCCTCCCTGGCCTCAAAAGCCTCTGCTTGGCCACCTCTGCCTGCCACCTCTTCCTCTGCTGAGCCCTCCAGGCCAAATTCCTGCCCACCTGCATGCTCTCCTGCTGCTGTCTCTTCCCTTTCTTTCAAGTCCCAGCCTTGCCCAAGCGCCCCTTCCAAAGCTTCACCAGCACCAGCAGCGCTGACGTCTGGGTCCACCTCACCCCCCATAACCTCAGCAGCCACAGTGCCAGTCTGTGCGTCCTCACGGTCCTGGAGGTCCACAGCCACCGCCTGCAGCCTCCAGCCTCTCCTGGGTGTTCTGTCAGCCTCCGCCTCCCCATCCTTGGTTTCTCTGGCATAGGCCTCTCCCAGTGACAGGCCAGGCCCTGCGTCTGCTCCTGTGCTTCCATCCAGATCCTGGTTCTCTGAGACAGATGCCTCTCCCTTCTCAATTCCACATCCCGTGTCCTGGGTTGTCAGCCCCTCCCCGCCTGCCTCTGGGACTTCTGATAGTTCAGACTCTTGGTCTCCTTCGGCCTCAGCCACCAGGGTCTGGCCTCCCGCAACCTCCTCCTCCCACTGCTCGCCATCAGCCGCATCCTCCTGGGTATTTCCTCTCTCCATGTCCCTTCTCGTGCGGTTTTCCCAGGCTCCTGGGAAGGCCTCGGAGGCCTCGGGCTTTACAGACTCCGCGTGCCTGGGACCTGCCTCTAGGCTCCTCTCCTGCTCCTCTTTGCTCCGGGCCAGAACTTCCTGGAGCTCCACCTCACCTGCCTCTCTTTCCTCGGGTTGCTTACTTGGGGTCTGGGCACCTCCTATCAGCTCAGGTCCCTGGCCTTTGGTGACCCTGTGTGTGAGGCCACCCCATTTCACCCCCAGTGGGCCGTAGCTAGTCTGGGCCGCCTCGCTCTCCTCCCCTGTGAGCTCCTCCTCGGGCCTGGCCTCTGGAGTTACCTCCAAGTCAGCAGCGCCTTCAGCCTCCCCATCTGAGCGGAGCTCAGCCGCTAGATCCCTGCCACTCCCTCTCTCCTCCTGGGCCTCCTCTGCCTGTACCAGCTCCTCCAGCCTGGCCCAGTCGGCCCTGATCTCCAAGTCCCATCTCATCTCAGCCTCCTTCCCACACAGGTCCGCCTGACCCTCAAAGCTCTCCCCTGCCTCCTGGCCTCCCACAGCCTCCCTCCCTGCTGTCTGGCTCTCAGCAGCCTCTTCTGTTCTCTCAGTGCCCAGGACCTGGGCCTGTTTGGGGAAAGGGCTCACCTCAGCCTCTCTCTCCTCATCCCCCTCCTCCTCTAGGACCCAGACTTTTCCAGTAGCCTCTAGGAGCCTTTCTCCTGGGACTGCTCCATATTCTGTCTGTCTGACTCCCGGGAGGTCAGCCTCCTCTTTGCCTGAGGTTGTCCAGGCCTCCTCCCCGCCTGAGGCTGTCCCGGCCTCCTCCTCCCTGGCCGGGGCTGTCCCAGCCTCCTCCCCGCCTGAGGCTGTCTCGGCCTCCTCCTCACCTGAGATTGTCCTGGCTTCCTCCCCATCTAAAATTGTCCTCGCCTCTTCAATGCCTGGGGTTGTTCTGGCCTCCTCTCTGCCTAAGATTCCCCAGTCCTCAGGCTCTGCCCCTGGGCCCCACGTCCCCCATGCCCTAGTGCTTTCACAGGCCTTCTCCACCACCACCACCTCTTCTCCTTTCCCAGCCCCTTCGGCCCCAGGCTCCTCAGTTTCCCCTGCATCTGCCTTCCTGACCCCCTGCTCCGTCTCCCGGTTGTCCCCCGCCGCCTTTGGCCCGCCAGCACCAGCCTTCCCCTCTGGCTCCCTGTGCCAGGTCCACTCTGACTCCGCCCCTCTGGCCATCCCTGGCTCTCTTGCCCTGACCTCTTCCTCCTCCTCCTCCTGTTCCCAGATTCTCAGCCTCTCCTCTCTGTTCACTTCCTGCTCATCGGGCTCCTGCCTCTCCTGGGCTTGGCCGCTCCTCTCTTGGCAAGCCCCAGACCCTGCCTTGGATTTCTTTCTGGCCTCCAAGGGGGCACTTGGCTCCTGGCACCTGGCAGCCTTGGCTGTCTCACCAGCCCCACTGTCCTGCCTCTCTGCTTGGGACCCATGGGAGCTGCCATCTCCCCAGCTCCAGGTCTGTTCCACAGCTGAGCTCCCCGCTTCACGTCTTCTGTCCTCTCCAGGCCCTCTCAGCCCTCCAGCCCCCTCGTTTTGGCTGCCTCTAAGGCCCTCCAGGGCCTCCTGGGCTTCCTCCTCTACAATCTTCCCTGTCCTTCCCACGGCCACCGCCCCCAGTTCCTCAGCCGCCTGTGCCTCCCGCTCTACAGTGGGGACTGCATCTCCCAAGAGGTAGGAGACAAAGGTGCCGAGGGAATCCTAGGAAAAAAGAGGGAGGGGAGAGGCATTAAGGGGAGTCCCAGTCCTTTCCCTGGGGGTCCTGGCTGGAGGAGCCCAGGTTAAGGAACAGGGTACTGAGATCTGAGAGGAGAAGAGGATTTGCAGAAGGAGCCAGAAAGGGCATCGATTAGGGGTATGAGGACTCATGGGTGGAGGTGGGGCCTAAAATTCAGAAAAGATTAGGCCAGGAGTCTGCCTGATCCTGAGAAAGCAATCTCCAGTCTGAGGACATCAGAAGGAGGAGGGGAAAGGTGAGGCCCCAGGGGAGGTGCCCGGAAGTGAGGCCCCAGGGAATGGGGTGCAAGTCTCTGGCAGCTGTCTGCCCCTCTCACCAGTGCCCCCCTCAAGGCCTGGTGCAGCCCAGGGAGGTGTAGCCGGAGGAAGTCCATCCTGTCTGTCTGTGTCTGTGTGTCCAGAAAGCTGATAATGACCGTCCCCACCCACCAAGACAAGCCAATCTTCCCGAGGACCGAAGGCACTTCCTCTTCCCCTGTGTCTCCCTGATGTGTCCCCACCCCAGGCCCTGCCCACGGCCCCTGATGCCCACAGCAGCCCCCACTGCAGCCCGGGAAATGGGTGTACATCACACAGGGGACTCAGGTGCACATTTGGAAATAAAGGGTAAGGGAGAGGCCAGAAAAGTCAAAGTGGGAGCAGGAGACCTTAGAACTGGGGAGGGGGAGAGGGAGGAGACATGCAGCAATAGCAGCTCAAATGACTCAGGTCTTGTATGCGCACCTCAGCCATTTCCGTCTCCCCTACAAGCCACAGCCACTCTGCAAGAGGAAGCTGGGGTTTGTGGTTCCTGTTTTGCCTGGGAAGAAAGAGTAGCAGTGAAGAGGGGGCTGGTGGGAGCTCTGACACATTTCAGTGTCATTAATGCTTCCGCCAGGGGCGGAAGGGGCCGGATTGGTGGCTCTAGGGTGCATCCCCTCATCTATGATTAGCCTTGCAAAAGAGAACTTGGCTAAACTTTATATTGTGGCTATCTGTGTCTTCCTCCCACCTTCCTGTGACTTCCTTGATGGCAGATGCCATGTATGAAACGCTGCTGAATTTCTAGAGCCCTGCACGGTAGTAGGATTCCATTTTCCAGCAGTTGAGTGACCTGGGAGGCACGCTAGAGGGGGCACATTCTTTTTTTTTTTTTTTTTTTTTTTTTTTTTGAGACAGTCTCACTCTGTCGCCCAGGCTGGAGTGTAGTGTCGAGATCTTGGCTCACCGCAACCTCTGCCTCCCTGGTTCAAGTGATTCTCCTGCCTCAGCCTCCCATGCCCGGCTAATTTTTGTATCTTTAGTACAGACAGGGTTTTGCCATTTGGCCAGGCTGGTCTTGAACTCCTGACCTCAGGTGATCTGCCCACCTTGGCCTCCCAAAGTGTTGGGATGATGGATGTGAGCCACCACGCCTAGACCAGAGGGCACATTTCAAACAGCATTCTGAAGGCCTGGTGGTGAGAAAGAGCGGATAGAGCTGGCACAGCCCATAGCAGAGATGAGGCCGAGGACAAGAAGAGAATGCAGGATGCCACTTTCCACCTAGAGGAAGGTAAGAATATGATTCCTTATTTGGAACTACATAAAGTGACTTTGCTCTACTTCTCTTCCCCATACCCTCCTTCTCCCCTCTCCAGCCCCACTTTCCTATTCCAATTAGGGCAATTGGATGAAATCACAGCATCGGAATCTTAGGCCTTAAAAACATTTAGTCTGGCCAGGTGCGGTGGCTCACGCCTGTAGTCCCAGCACTTTGGGAAGCCAAGGCGGATGGATTGCTTGAGCTCAGGAGTTTGAGGCCAGCCTGGGCAACGTGGCAAAATCCCGTCTCTACAAAAAATACAAAAATCAGCTGGGCATGGTGGTGCGCACCTGCTGTCCCAGCTACTCAGGAGGCTGAGGTGGGAGGATCGCCTGAGCCTGGGAGGTCAATGTTGCAGCAAACCAAGATCCTGCTGCTGCACTCCAGCCTGGGCAACAGAGCAAAACCCTGTCAAAAAAAAAAAAAAAAAAAAAAAATCTGGTCTAAGCACCACTTTTGATGGAGGCCGGAATCCTGCAGCAGCCTGGAGCCAACCCAGTGGCCCTCTGGTGCTCTATTTCTTATCACTATACAGGTCTCTAAAGTCACCTTTATGTGTAACATTGTATGATCGTCAGCAATTTTCCAATTTTTTTCACACGTATATATGTGTCTCTTCTTTTCTTTTTTACTTTTTCTTTTTTTGAGAGAGGATCTTTTTTTGAGAGACGATCTCACTCTGTCGCCCAGGCTGGAGTGCAAGTGGCATGATCATAGCTCACTGTAGCTTCACCTCCTAGGCACAAGTGATCCTCCCACCTCAGCCTCCAAAGTACCTGTGACTACAGGCATGCGCCACCACGCCCGGCTAATTTTTGTTTTATATGTATATATATTATACATATATATAGTT